TTTTGAATCTGCTACTGCGAATCCGGTATCCAATATTGAAACAATTTTCCTACATTATTTATAGTAAACTTTTTCAGCTCAACCAATCTTGTACGGAAAATAGAGTCATGTGTCAAGAGACGCAAGTGATCTATATTTTGTCATTTATCCGTTGTGTATCGATAAAGAACTAGACCGGTGGGATGTGCAGTGTGAGTGATTCAGAGGAGTGAAATAGAGTGGTATATGGGTCTTTGGCTAGGGTTTCGGAGGTGTTACTAGACTTAGTAGAGTGGCTAAAGGCCTAGAACAAAGGAAAGAAACACAAGCAGTCGAAGGTGAGTATTCGGTTTACGTCTCATCAATTCCACGACGATGATTAGGAATTTTCATGGTTTAGTGATCATTGCACAGTCTACGAGCATGGCAGAGTTTTTTCCAACTAAGATAGTCGGGGCCATTGCAGTTCTAGGTGTCCAATTGTTGCCACCAAAGTGTGTGGATACAACATTGACACAATGGAAACTTATTTCTTTTGGGTTGTCCAATACCTCGAACCGATATCCGGTTAGCTTTAAATGTAATTACTTTTAGTGAATATTTATTACCAGATCTTTCTCCTGAGTTGAGACCCGTATCTTTCAAATGCAGGGTGTAGTTTTTCGTGCTTTACTCTCAGCGAGAGGAAGGAAGTAGTCCAAAAAGTTATGTCTATTTTTATTTTAACTTTCTTGCAAGATGTTGCATCATGTCTCACCCGTGCGGCTCTCGAGGTCCCACATCCTAGGATAGCTTTCTTCCCTTGCACATGATGGCAATACCGAAACAAACAACATACTCACACACTTACGGGTAGGATGCTGCGTAATACCTAAATATGATGATAATTGATACCATTAGTGCGCTCCTGATAATATAGACAGTATGCCTATCTATTGACGATATTATCATGCTACATGGGGAATGGAGTATACTCGATACAAGACATTTACCCCTTTTCAATTTGCTAATTCTCTTGTAGTTAAGAGCATCATATGATTGTGAAACCATCTCATTGCATTTGGACTACGCACCTAAGTTAAAATTTCCACAATTGTTGCACCACCACCAAATGGAGGAAAATTCACTCTTTTTGTAGTACCTATGTACACACCGTTTTTTGTTGACCTGTGGTTGACTTCATAGTTTGATTATAACAAATAAATTATTTTTTATTTCTAACATTTAAATTTGAATTTTCATAATTGTTGTTACAAAGTTGATCTATTGGAGACAAAAAATAATTGCTACCAAAAAACTTGCAATTGACGATCAATGAAAATCGAGATGGAAGCCGAGCACTCACGTCAAATCGATCAAGACGAGAACAAATCAAGCATTCATGTCAAATAGATCGAAGTTAGTAGATTTAGATATTTTGGATTCATATGTAAAGGTAAAATGTTTTAATTCTTAGCAATAAATCATTATAAGCTTAAACAATGAATTTTTATACACAAGAAAAATTATTTCTCAAAAGGTAAGAATTTCAACTTAAAATTTAAACTTTTTTACAAGTATCACTTACTTTGAAAAATTAAATGAAAACGTCATCTAAAAGCCTACATTTTCAAAATAATTAAGAAAGAAAAATTCGGGAAAATACTGTCCAAGCGGACTTCCGGTTCGTCCAACAGTCGAATTTTTAATAGTTCTGAATTCTAACGCACAATGGCTAGTTGGATTGTCCGATTCAGTATGCTTTGACGCTTTGACTGCTATAAATATCATTTCACTTTGCATTCAATATAACATTTTTAAGAACATTTAAGTGAAATATTCTTGAACAAAATTATATTGATCTTACATCTTATTTATCTTTATCAAATAATTTACTTTGAAAAACTTTTAATTGAATTAAATTTTGAAAACTATTCTTCTTATCAAAGTTTTTCTCACCTAATACTTGAACTTCATTCATTGATATTTATTGAAGTGTTAGCTTATTTCTCTCTTTATACTTAATTTTATCATATCATTTATTAAGAGAGAAATTTTAAATTGTAAAATCCACTTCGTTTAAATTTGTAGGTCGTG